TTAATTATTATACGTAACCCGAGAATCGAGACGAACCGAACCAAAACGGTTCTATAATTAAAGTTGGACCTGACGGGTCTATTTGCTAAATACCCGAAAATTCGAGTTCGATTCCGTTCTCCTTAGAATTGAATCGGACCATGTCCAGGCTTGAAATCCAAGGAACTGTTCATTTGACTCTCTTTTAATACTAGTGTAAAATTTCGATAAACGAATGTTCAATAAATTAATAATCTCGCTTAAATAATAAAAATTTTCGATCTTGACTTAGTCAATGTACTAAATTAATAATCTCGCTAAATGCATAAAATAATAATTTCTTTGAGATCTTTTAAGGTCCAAAGAATATATAAAATAATTACTTAAATTTAATACAAATTAACGAACTTTTTGTTTGATAACATTTTTTTCGATTCATTTCTTTTTCAAAATATATATCTAAAGTCCTTTACTTTTTCTTTGCAACCAAATTGAACACTACTCCGTCTTTTATTTTTTACAATGCACATTATATTATGCATATTTTTTTTATGTTGTAAAAAGTAATTATTTAAATTTACAACTGCTTAAAATGCCAGTTGTGGATTCTATAAAAATGAGATTGAGAAAAATAAATTTAAAAAAAATGAGGCTCAAAGAAGGGCGTAGTATCCATATCAATGGATGGTCAAGTAAACCATCATAAACAACTTATCACAATCAATTGCTCATGTTTGATGCCCATTATTTCATCAAAAGAACTTTGTAATAGTGTAATTTTTGAGAATGTATTGTTAAAAAAATATGATTTTTTTAAATTTACGTGCAAAATATTTTATTATGAGAATGTGTGATTGAAAATAAGTTTGAGAAATTATTATTATTATTATTATTTTGAAATAGTGGAAGTCAAACTTTGATGACTCTTATCTTACGTGAGACACAAACAAAATCATGGAAGCTTCATTTACTTGTACAATTGTTCGTTAATTAGTTACTGGTTTATTTAACCCCACAAATTATTTAAACAATGAAATGAACCTTAAGACAAATATATTTTTGAAATATATAGTTTTAAAAGTTTAAGTTGTCAAAGAGAATACTAAAATTGAGATATGACTAGAAACGGGCTAGTTCTCGATTCAATGTCCGAAACCGACCATTTTGATTTGGTCTAATGTGGATCGATTCGGCCATCTCTAGTGTAAAAT